GAAGTGACCCTACCAGACTCAGCACCTGGAGGAGAAGCAGTGGTCAGAGTGTACAGGCTCGACCCTGGCCGACGTGTAAACGTAGCCAGGTGGCGACCTGTATCCGCCTCCGTGCAGTGGGTCACCCGCTGACGAGCAGGGGTGAACTGGTGGACACCCGCATCCTGGAGGTCAGCACCACTCACCAAGTTCGTCGAGAACGAGGGGAGGTAGAGACCAGTCAGGGTGCCAGAGGGGGCCGCCGGACACGGGAGGACAGTGGAGAAGCGAGACAGGACAGGCCCCCCAGAGGGGTCAGCCAGGGACACCGCAACCGGCCGACTCAGCGGCGTGAGAGTGGTGCCGTCCCGAAAGAAGGAGCGAGACGCTCCAGAGTCAAGGGTGAAGGTGTGAGAGGCCGAAGCCGACACAGTACCTGAGAGGGCAGACTCACCAGCACCTGAGAGCACAGACGCACTGGCACCTAGAGCAGCAGCCTCACTAGTACCTGACGCGGCAGTACCAATGCCCGGGTCGGGCGGGAAACACCGGTAACAGTCATCCTCATCACTACCAATCGCAGCATACATAGCAGAGAGAATAGCATCAAAATCAAGATCATAAATAGCTACACCAGCCCTAGACAGCTCTCCCCAGCGGGGGATCTCAGCTGCCTCCGGAAACTGCTGACGCCAGGCGTCAGTCAGGCGGCCAAAGCAGCGGCGGGCAGTGTGGGCGCCTCCACACCTCTCCCCTGCACGGTCACCGGTGCGGAGAACGTAGGGGCAAGGACCAAGCGCACCACCACGCTGACGCTGCGAGTACCACTCACGGAGCTGCTGAGGGGCGGGGACGGTGCGAGAGCGCTGCTGCTGCTGTGGCTGCTGCTGCGGCTGCTGCTGCTGCTGCTGCTGGCGCTGACCACCCCCGGAGCTGCTCCGCTGGGACGAGCCACTCCGACCCCCGCCTCCACTGCCACCCCCGCCTCCACCGCCACCCCCGTCTCCACCTCCACCTCCCCCACCAGGACCGTCGCTCCCACCGCTCCCACCGCCTCCTCCGCTACCACCTCCGCCGCCACCTCCGCCTCCACCGCCGCCACCAGTACCTCCACTCCCGCCACCACCCCCACCGCCACCCCCACTCCCCCCGCCACCCCCACCGCCTCCTCCACCGCCCCCTCTAGCTCCACCCGCTCCCTTGCCCCCCTTGCCCTTGCCAGCGCGGCGTCTGCCGCTGGGGGCAGACGCCGCGCCGACCGACTCAAAACCAGTGAGGTCGGCCGCAGCGGCAGAGGCGACAGAGGGCAGCAGGGGGGAAGGACCACACCCCTCAAAGATAGGGGTGCGAGGGTCACCCCGAGAGGCCCCTACAGCGACAATACTCTTCTCAGCCGCTAGCAGGGACTCCTCAAGGAGGTCGACAGTGAGAGTGGTGGGACAGACAGAGAGAAACTGGTCCCTAACGACACGAAGGGACTCAGGGAGACGGGTGACGAGAAAGTAGAGAGTGATGTACATGGGAGGAGGGTTCGCAGCGCGGAACTCAGCAGGAAGGGCAGCGCGGTAGCGGGTGTCACTAGCACGGAGGTGGGTAACGAGGTCAGCGACAGTGGGAAAGGAAGCGAGGTCAGGGAAGAGAAACGGTAGCATGAGGCGGCTAAGGGTAGCGGAGGAAGGGGAGGAGTAGCGTGCAACTACAGCGTCGTACAAGGCCTGAGCGGTCTTGCACTGACTAAAGTGGGCACGCTCAGAGGAAGGGAGGTGGCGACGCACAGCAAGACGTGCAGCAGCATCGCGGGTCGCCCACTTGGAGCGAACGGCAGAGTCAGCATCAGCAGGTGGGGCAGGGACAGCGCCAGAGACAAAGTCAAAGAGAGAGACCTCATCTATCGCATCACACAGTAAGTACAGCTGCAGGTCTTCAATCCAGACGGCAAAGTCAATGGCCCTCCCCTCAGCGTCAAAGGTAAGAACATTGGGGGTGGCCATGACAGCAGCTGAAAATCTCACCGGGCTGGGAGAGGCGGGTAGGTCAGCAGCAGAGGAACAGCAGCACGGCTCCGCAGGCGGCTCGGGCGGCGCGGGCGGCTCGGCGGCGGCTCGGGCGGCGGCTCGGCGGCGGTTCGGCGGCGGCTCGGCGGCGGCTCGGCGGCGGCTCAGGCGGCGGCGGCTCGGCGGCGGCTCGGCTGCTGCTGGGCGGCGCGGGCGGCTCGGGCGTCACGGGCGGCTCGGCGGCGGCTCTGGCGGCTCGGCGGCGGCTCGGGCGGCGGCTCGGCGGCGGCTCGGCGGCGGCTCGGCGGCGGCTCGGCGACGGCTCGGCGGCGGCTCGGCGGCGGCTCAGGCGGCGGCGGCTGCTGCTGGGCGGATCGGCGGGGCCGCGTAGCAGAGTGGCGGCGGGGCCGCGCCCGAAGAGAGCGGCGGGGCCGCGACCGAAGAGGGCGGCGGGGCCGCGTAGCAGAGGGCGGCGGGGCCGCGACCGAAGAGAGCGGCGGGGCCGCGTAGCAGGGGGCGGCGGGGCCGCGTAGCAGAGGGCGGCGAGGCCGCGTAGCAGAGGGCGGCGGGGCCGCGATCGAAGGGCGGCGGGGCCGCGTAGCAGAGGGCGGCGGGGCCGCGTAGTAGAGGGCGGCGGGGCCGCGTGGCAAAGGGCGGCGGGGCCGCGATCGAAGGGCGGCGGGGCCGCGTAGTAGAGGGCGGCGGGGCCGCGTAGCAGAGGGCGGCGGGGCCGCGAGGCAGAGGGCGGCGGGGCCGCGTAGCCGAGGGCGGCGGGGCCGCGATCGAAGGGCGGCGGCGGGGCCGCGTAGCAGAGGGCGGCGGGGCCGCGATCGAAGGGCGGCGGGGCCGCTAGGGAAGGGTGGCGGAGCCGCGAGGGGAAGGGCGGCGCAACGGTCCGCTAGGGGCGACACGACGGGTCGCTAAAAAAAAAACGCGCCTCGGGGCGCGGTTCGGTGGGCCCTAGAAGCAGTCCCTAGGAGGGAACCTGCTCTGATTCCATGTGAAAACAAAGAACGAGAATGGAATGACTATGAACGAAGTGAGTACAAATAGGAAACCCTAATTGGGTTGTACCCCCTATGGGATACCCCACTATAGCCTACAGAAACAAGTAAGCTATAAGTTCTGACACTCGGAGCTCGTACAAACAAGCCAATTTCGCTCACCTTGACGTGCCGTAGCGGGATGCTCGCAGCCCATGCATCAGCGTCCGAATCAATGATCCACGAACAGCATTTTACGACCTCGTTTCGTAAATACCTGCATATCGGATGATGGTTCTTCAATTATTTAGTTACCCCGTTTTGAGTTACGAGACAACAGCATACTGCCATTTGAGAGCGAATACCTGCGCAACGGAGCGTCAACACCGTCATGGGTACCGTTCGAGTCAGCGTGCCATAGCACGCAGTTCATGGGAATCGTGTCGTCGGGTCTCGGGATTCTCTCGATGACGATCAAGCTCCAATGACTCCTAATGCGCAAACGAGGACTAGCATCATTAAAAACGACATTATCATTGCGAATTATTTCTGGTGCAACGGCACGACGCGGCGAGAACTTACTCGGTATTGATCGGAACTAGAACATGTGTGAATTCGAATATTCCCAATCCGAAAGTGTAGGCGTTCTCAGGCCTCGGTGTGTCCTTCCGAGCGTAGTCCCAGAAATAGGATCCACCGTAAAGCCACTTTGTGCGGTTGCGACCGTGTTCGTACTGCAGCATCCTGCGAGTGCGCAGATTAACGCCAAAATAATAGCATGAGAGAACCGTGTCGTCACTGTGTAATGAGTCTATATTCGTGATACTCACACACCGAGCCAATCAATCACGATTCCGCTGACCCATTCACCGGGTCGTAGCCTATTGGCGTGGTCTACGGTTATGTCGAGCCAGCCTCCGCCGTAGGGAAAGGGCATGGAGATCGGCTGAAAGGCTAGTTTACTATCTAAGCTTGGAAGAGCCATGGCTGAATGTTCCTGACTTCGAGTTGCGAGTGGCACTGGGGAAATTATGAGGAAGCAGCACCACTTCTGAATCTGTGCTTTGGAGCCACGCTACTATGGGTCACGAGTTGCTTTGCAGGTTGTTGCCACATTCGTTAATTTTCGCTACTCGTACCCTAACCTACCTGAACCTGGAAGATGTCGCAATCGCATGGACGACATTCGCCAGAGGGCCCCACTTGTCGGGGCTCTTTGGCAATGGTGTCTGGTTCCCCATCTGCTGACATCACAGATACATCCCCCTTAACAGGGGGAGAGCCAATCAAAACATCGGAACGACGAGGTGGAACACCTTCTCGGGGCTAGCGATTCCACGCGTCAGACTCTCACCGGTAACTTGGTGGCTGTTGTGAATGTGTCCTTTTTCCCCGATTTGGGCACGCGCCATCCCTAATAATGTTACGGCGCGCAGAGGTCCGTCCACTCCACACATGCACTCTCCCATCTTCTGGGCGCAGTAGTGGATGCCCGTTAGATGAAATCTAACGGTGAAGACAGAATGAAATCCTCCAGCTGTTTAGGGTTCCCATCTGACAGCCTAACACGTTTGTTGCACGAAGCAGCGTGATTGGTGCATACGTGTAGGGCTGTCAGAATTAATCCCTGGAAGAATCGGAGCCAGGCCCCTGGAATTCATAGAGTTTTTCCCTTGCTCGACCTGTTGTTCAGTGTGGTTTTGTCACTTCCCGCTCCGTGAAATTGAGTTTGACGTTCATGTTACTCTCAGGACCTTGACATGAGTAAAATCGTACCCTATAATTCAGTATAAGAGAGTGTCGTCAGCCCTAATGTTTTCGCATGTAGGACATTCCAACACTGCTAGGGCTCTTCTTGCTCTCGAATTTTGACTAAGTCTCTGGCATCTGGCTTGGGCACTGGAACTCTCGGAATGCGGACAAGAATATGGAAATATACTCGAAATGTGGTACTATTGCCCTGCCCATGCGTCCACTGCTTCCTCGCATGTCCAGCCCTGTCATGCGTCTGCTGCTCCGTCTTAGACATCCTCCAGTCAAGCCTTTACTGCTGCTTGCTTTGTCCTATCCGGTCATGCCTATACTGCTGCGGCCCTTGCACCACTCCCCTCCGTAATGCTGTCCCCCTTTCTCTATCCACACGTGCCTTCCCTGATGCCCCCCTTGCTGTCTCCACCAATGCCTCTCCTCGCACGTATGTGATGCCTCTCCTGCTGTCCCCTTTTGTAAACTCCACGCATGCCTCATCTGCAGCCCCCCTTGTCTCGTCACACCATCATTTGGCCCTCTTGCCTCCCCTTCTTTTGCCATTTTCGTGCCTTTTGCCCTTCCTCCGCTCCTGGCCCCCCTGCTTCTCATCCTCATCCTCATCCTCTTCCTCCTCTTTCTCCTCTTCCTCCTCTTCCTCCTCTTCCACTTCCCTCCAACTTCCCTTGCCTCTGCCTCTCTTGTGCTTTCTACCCTTCCTCCGCGACTGCCCCCCCTGTTTCTCATCCTCCTGCTCCTCCTCTTCCTCATCTTCCTCCACTTCCTCTTCCCTCCTGCTTCCCTGCCCTCTGCCTCTCTTGTGCTTCCTGCCCTTCCTCCGCTCCTGCCCCCCCTGTTTCTTATCCCCCAGCTCCTCTTCCTTCTCCTCTTCCTCGTCCGCTTCCCTCCTGCCTTCCCTGGTTTTCCCTCCCTTGTGCCTTCTGCCCTTCCTAAGCTCTTGCCCCCCCCGTTTCTCATCCTCTTCCTCATCCCTCCCGCCTGCCCTAGGTCTCTTGTGCCTTTTCCTCTTCCTCCGCTCCTGCCCCCACTGTTCCTCGTCCTCCTCCTCCTCCTCCTCCTCCTCCTCGTCCTCCTCCTCGTCATCCTCCTCCTCCTCCTCCTCCTCCTCATCCTCCTCCTCCTTATCCTCCTCCATGTCCTCCGAGTTGTACACCTCCTTTTCTTCCTCCTTCAGGTCCTTCGTTTTGGCATCAAGCTCAGCCTTCCCCCGGAAGGCCTCAAATCCTGACTCGTGAACATACAGCCCACGGTCGCCCCACTTGAAGTCCTTCATGTCTGTGTTGTACACAGGGGTGTGGCGTGTGAAGTGGTCCTTGATAATCCACCGCACATTACGGTGCAAACCCCCCATCCATTCACTGTTCTTCCGGTGGGAGTTGGAGACGTTCCAGTCAGTCCTCTTAACCTTTGATAAGCCCTGGTCAATCTGAAAAGGCATAGCACAGTATGGGATGGAGGAAAAACAGCAACTTCAGTGGACACTCGCGTGCAGAGTTTAGAGGCTGCGCTAAATGCCCCACATACCATGCCGAGGGACTATAAAACAGCATGCCAAGCTAGAGCATACCATGGGTTGAGCAATAATTGCGTACCACCATGATTGACCAGGCAATGTGGTATGCTTTGACGCACACCCGGCGCCCGACACAGAAATTCCGAAATGCTTCCCGGACCGCATCTACAAACCGGCCGTCGGCAAACGGGAGCCCGTCTCTGTTGTTTCCCCACGAGCTGACCCGTTGTTTCCCTCCTGCGCGCATGTATGACAATGCGGGGAAGCATGAGACATCCGTGATCATGCATGACATGGTTTAGGGTTGTCCAAAGGGTATGGATGAACATCGAGGGCGGGGGGGAATGAATGGCGAGAGGGCGGGAGAGCAGGGGTGGGCGGGAGATAGGGGGAGGGCGGGAGAGAAGGGGAGGGCGGGAGAGAAGGGGAGGGCGGTAGAGGAAGGGAGGGCGGGAGAGAAGGGGGTGGCGGGAGAGAAGAGGAGGGCGGGAGTTAAACGGGGGGGCGGGAGAAGGGGAGTGTGGGAGAAGAACCAACGGATGGCTGTCATGCGGATGTGTTTGCACATGCGCTACAAGCTTGGGCGAGGAGAGCAGGTATGTAGTCGCGTGCCAAAGTGGGGATGCATTGGGGGTATGTGCTTCATCAACGTGGGGCATGCACGAGGGGTGCATGAGAAGACATGTCAATAGGGGATGGAAAACAGTCACGCAAGTACTCACTCGGTTGGTATTTTTTCCACATCTTCCGCTTCTTCTTGGTGCCCATCCACAGTTCGGCTGCACGCAGGCCTTCCACCTTCTTGCCGAAAGTGACGAGCACTCTGCGCTTGAGGTGGAAGCCACGTTCGTTCTTCCATGACGTCCAGGCGCGTTTAAAAGCGCCTATGATGTTTTTGTCTTCCATAGCCTCTCGCAGCTGCATCATGTTGATGATGTGCGTCTCGCTGATAACCTCATACAACACCTGCACGCGCTGTTCGAGCGTTGGGTAGAAGTCTATGGCATGGTCTGGCGCCTCGAGGCACATCCGGTCCCGCCCCTCTGCGAAAAGAACCTACGACAGCCGGATGGATAGGAAAAAAGGATATGTGGGTGACTCCCAAAGAAGGGCGGAAACCAGAGGTCGAGAGAGTGGGATTTGGGTAACACGTGCCGCAGGCCACCCACACCACCACCAGCACCATGAACAGGGGCTCTGGTTGAGGTAGGGGAGAGCAGGGAGATAGAGGGGGGAGAGAGGGGATGAACTAGTCTGAGTGAAATCATATGGGAGAGGGAGCAGAGTGTGAGAGCACCGTACGGACTGCGTAAGGGGTCATGTTCTCCTCGTACTAAGAGTCACAACCCCCGCTGCAGCCCGGCCCGCTACACGCTGCGCCGCATGCCACACACGCGACCAGAAGCACCGTTTAGAGGGGCTCTGGAAGAGGAGGGAGAAGGGTGGGATAGAGAAGGGGGGGGGAGGAGCAAGCGGAAAGAAGGGATTGGGCACGTGGGGATGACAGAGAGGGCTGCTGCTATCTCTGCGCCGCATGCCACCCACACCAGACCAGCAGCACCGTTTAGAGGGGCTCTGGAAGAGGAGGGAGAGGGGTGGGATAGAGAGGGGGGGGAGGAGCAAGCGGAAAGAAGGGATTGGGCACGTGGGGATGACAGAGAGTGCTGCTGCAATCTCTGCGCCGCATGCCACCCACACCAGACCAGCAGCACCGTTTAGAGGGGCTCTGGAAGAGGAGGGAGAGGGGTGGGATAGAGAGGGGGGGGAGGAGCAAGCGGAAAGAAGGGATTGGGCATGTGGGGATGACAGAGAGGGCTGCTGCTATCTCTGCGCCGCATGCCATCCACACCAGACCAGCAGCACCGTTTAGAGGGGCTCTGGAAGAGGAGGGAGAGGGGTGGGATAGAGAGGGGGGGGGAGGAGCAAGCGGAAAGAAGGGATTGGGCGCGTGGGGATGACAGAGAGGGCTGCTGCTATCTCTGCGCCGCATGCCACCCACACCAGACCAGCAGCACCGTTTAGAGGGGCTCTGGAAGAGGAGGGAGAGGGGTGGGATAGAGAGGGGGGGGGAGGAGCAAGCGGAAAGAAGGGATTGGGCGCGTGGGGATGACAGAGAGGGCTGCTACTATCTCTGCGCCGCATGCCACCCACACCAGACCAGCAGCACCGTTTAGAGGGGCTCTGGAAGAGGAGGGAGAGGGGTGGGATAGAGAGGGGGGGGGAGGAGCAAGCGGAAAGAAGGGATTGGGCACGTGGGGATGACAGAGAGGGCTGCTGCTATCTCTGCGCCGCATGCCACCCACACCAGACCAGCAGCACCGTTTAGAGGGGCTCTGGAAGAGGAGGGGGAGGGGTGGGATAGAGAGGGGGGGGGGAGCAAGCGGAAAGAAGGGATTGGGCGCGTAGGGATGACAGAGAGGGCTGCTGCTATCTCTGCGCCGCATGCCACCCATACCAGACAAGCAGCGCCATGAACAGGGGCTCTGGAAGAGGAGGTGGAGTGACGGGAGAGAGGGGGGGGGGGAGGAAATAGAACAGTTATGGTGAGCTCGCAGAGGTGGGGCAGAGTGTGAGAGTATCGTACGCCCAGCACCAGCGTCCGTGAAGCGGGGCGTACTGGGAGTGCCTATCACACCGCAGCCAGGCCGCTATCACTGCGCATAATGGTACAAACACTCTGACCAGCATAAAGAGGTGGGGGGAACGAGGTGTTGAGAGAGAGAGCTGCAGCTATCACTGAGCCCCATGCCACACATTGCTTAACACTTAAACATACCCACCTTCAGCAGCTTGGGCTTGGGCATCCCACGCGTTCGATAGACCGGTACGTCTACCGTCGATGGGCTTTCTGGCGCCACGCCTGGATCGAGGCCCACTGCAGATGGGCCGCTCGACAGAGACGCAATAGGAGGAGGCCTAGACGGAGGGGTGCAGGGTTTGACAGGTCCTTTGGCTCCTGGCCTTGCCTTGAGTGCCGCAATTTCGCGATCCCGCTGGGCAAGCTCCCGCATGAGCTGCTCCACCGTCTTGCCGCCAGCCACGTTGGGCCGACTGGATGCGCCAGGTGTGCCCATGCTCTCGCCCCTCCCCTCCTTAGTCGCTGGATCCATTTTCAAGTCTCCTCCTTCTCCCTTGCTATCCCGTACATCCCACATGGAGCCTTCCACACCGCCGCCACATTCACCCAAGGAATTCGCCCACACACCTCCTCCCACACCGTCATTGGCTGCTGCGGCGGCCGAGGGTTCGTGCCGCTTCGTTGCTCCCTCGATTTTCACCTGAACCGCGTGACCCCCCGAAAGCTTTGCATGCGGGTCCGTCGCTTCCCTGCCAAACCGCGCTGACCCCCAAGCGATCGGATCTCCCTTCCCAGACGAATCCATCTGCTCGCGTAACGCAGCATACGTGTCGGTGGCTTTCCGATCATGAGGGCTTGATGGACATCGTAGCCCCATGGACTCGTAAAAATCCAACTCCCGCTTCTCCTTGCTACGCACACCCACAATTTTAGCTTCGAATCGAGGTCTCTGGCGCTTGCCATGTGGTTTGGCACGACGCACACTCTGCTTATAGCTCTTCACCCGTCCTGTCTCCGATTTTTGCTTTCCATTGCCCTTCTTGGTCTTCCGCACACCCCTCCTCTTCAAAGGCCGAGCCTCCTCCTCATCCTCGCTCTCCGGCTCCAACTCCTCATCCTCCTCTTCCTCTTCCTCCTCCTCCTCGTCCTCGTATACTTCCTCACTCCCGGATGAGCTGCCTGACTCACTATCGCTGGATCCCTCCTCCGAACCCGACGAGCTCGAAACATACTGTTTCGTCCCTTGTCGAGCTTGTCTCGCATTTCGGTCGCGACCGGCCGAGTCCACAGCATTGCGTCGTTTGTACGGAATCACAGCTTCACGTCCATGTTCTTTCCCAGCAGTCACTGCTGCAGGCTTGTCCTCATCCTGATCGATACCGCCACCACCTCGCTGCTCTGCTAGCCCTGCAGCGAGAGGGATATGAGAGAGACAATCTCGGTGTCACGTCACTCACGACATAGTTGCTGGTGCAACAGGTAACAATATACAAGGAGGGTGGCAGCGAAGGCTATGCAACCTCAAAATCAACGACAAAAGTAGCCAGGAACCGCCAACCTTCTATAACGGGCCTGGGCAGCGCCTGCTCGTCGCCACCAGCCACATCCAGCGAGAGCCTCCCTGAGGGACTGCCCTTGGCCGCCGCCGCCGCCTTCTCGTTGTTGCGCTTTCCACCACCACGCCCTTCAAGCTCGCCATGTTCCTGCTCGTCGCCACCAGCCACCTCCTGCGAGAGCCTCCCCGAGGGACTGCCCTTTGCCGCCGCCGCCTTCGCGTTGTTTCGCTTTCCACCACTACGCCCTTCAATCTCGCCATGTTCCTGCTTGTCGCCACCAGCCACGTCCTTCGAGAGCCTCCCCGAGGGACTGCCCTTGGCCGCCGCCGCCGCCTTCGCGTTGTTGCGCTTTCCACCACCACGCCCTTCAAGCTCACCATGTTCCTGCTCGTCGCCACGCGCAGACATTCCTAGGCGGCCAGATGGACTGCCAGGATACTCCGCAGCCCTCCCGCTACGGTCATAACATCTACCGCGTTGTCTTGCACGCCTGCCTGCTGACGGAGCTGCGAGGGCGGACATCACAAGAACATTAGCAGTCCAGTGCGCGCTAACCTTAATTGCACGAAGTGGCATCAGTATGATCAGTCGATGCAGGGAGTAACGTGCTACTTAGAAACCGGCGATATTACACAAACACGCACCTTCTTTGACGGGTCCGCCGTCCTCGACCTCCTCGTCGCCTTCAGACGCAGCATGTGAAGTAGTGCCTCTCTTTTGTTGACGGCGCTTACGCCCCTTTCGGTTGTCATGCTTGTCCTCTGACAATGTTACGGGGGAGCACAATCGGAGCTTCAGTAACGGGAACAAGTCAAACACGACGGCAAACCGCACTTACTGGATCGGTCGGAGGTAATTAATCATGCAAGTCTACCTTTCAGCAGATGGTACCAAAGACACGTACCTTTCTGGCCGGCTTTGGGACCGATGTCATCTAAGCGCCTCACGCGCCTCTCCCTTGGTTTTGGAGGGGAGGACACGCCCTTGTTAGCGTATGGCCCAACATCGCCGTCGCTATTTGATTCGTCACCAGATGAAGAGTCACGTCCTGACTCAACGTTATCACGCGCCGACGACGCATTGTACTTGCGGTACTCGTTAACGATCTCGGCCGTTTTATCTACTGTAACTAACTCCATATAAATTTTTTCCTCCAGCAATTTCGACGAGTCTGCCAAAACGATCGCCCCATCGGGCCCCTTAATCGTCTGACTATCCATTGCAATGTCTAGGTTTCCATTCACGCAGTAGTCTGAGGTGTGGGTTAGTTATGACGTTGCAACCTGACAGCTACGCTTCGCGCACTAAAAAATTGTTGAGCATAGAAGGGACGAGGATCAGACAGGGGCCTGGAGCAGATGACCGACCCACAAGCAGGCACGCAAGAGGAGCACGGAGGTGACGAGGGTTTGAGTGTTTCCTGCTCTGTTCCACCTTGCGACATCCAGGTCCCTCGTTTCCCCCAACAACCAATCACACGGTGGTTAACGTGCATCCATAAAAAATTGCGGCTCCAATGGGGCATGATTCAGTGGGAGTGGGCGTTTATCTGTCCATTAGCGGCAGGGAGCGATACAAAATGTTGCTAGTGCTTAAACGTGCGCTAGTGTATTAGGGCTCACGAAAGATATCTATTCTGCCCGCACAGACTTTATGTGGCTAATTTTCATAGTCTTTCACGCGTGCCGCACGAAGCTTGGCGCAGGCGTCACGTCAATAGTAAAATCGCCACTTCGGAGAAACGGGGACGAACCATTGGCGCAGTTTGTACAGCGATGCGACAGTCTGATACGAAGCCGTTATGGAACACCTGCGATAAGAACGCATGCTCGGGAGTTAGTTGTGAGTGGTGGCGATTGGGGTCGCAAGTCGGAGAGAACAACGTTCGTGGCAATGAACTGAGGTAAGTGGTATGGTGCACGGGGGGCACAAAATGACACATTTATTTGCAAGGCTGCAATACAGTGTTGAAAGAACATATAAATCATTACTACCAAAGGAATGTTGAGCTGTCCAATACCGTACGTTTACTCACAAGTATGACCACCGACAGTGCATAACCAGACACATCCTTCACGGACCAACTGTCAAATTGTTTAAGGAGAGCAGTGACCCTGTTACCTTGATTGTTGTTTAAATATGGTCTAGGTAAATAATATATTGGTGTCGCAACAAGGTAGCTACTGGTATGTCATTTGTGGTGCAACATTACCAGTGCCATACACAAACAGTTGGGCTGAAAAGCCCTTAGGATCTTTGCAAGGGTGAACTCTGGGTAGACTTGGTGTAGTAGCGGAAGCGTTAATTAAAGTGTTGTGAACCACCTTGCGCTAGTATGTGAGGGCAAAGTAAGTTGATTAAAGCAAAGAGATACAAGATTATATAAGAGTACAAGGAATACGAAGAGATACGGTTGCAACTACTTTACTGTTGCTGTTGCGGTTCGATACAGTGACGACTCGGGCAACTGCTCTGCAGCGAGTCAGTTGTGTGTCCTTGCTGTCGCGCTGTACTTGTCAGGTCAAAGGTCGCTGACCTTTGACCTTCGCGTAACCTCCGACAGTTACTTCAACCTCCGAGGGTTGACTCGCTGGTGCTTCGATACCGTAGTGTTTTGCTTCGTTTGTGTCTTGGTGTTTCGACACGACACAGGCGCTTAGGACCGATTGTTTCCAACACAAACTCCCATCATGGGGCGTGTCTGCACTCTTGTCCTGTAGGGCAGCTATAGTGCATAAATCAATTGCTTGATATGTTGTATGTTCTTATTTCATGCTTGACAGGAGGTGACAAACACTTGCTGTTTGGTCATGTGAGTGATGGGGACTGTTTCGAAGCCTCACCCACGCGTTCTGTGACTTGCTTGTTGGCTTGTCACGATGGACTGGACGGTGGGACAAATAGATCCTCCTTATAGGTCTTGTTTGACAACATAGGCCCAATAAGTTCACCCTATGCTGAGACCTGCTACCCGCCTCATCCCCTCCTGCTCCCTGCTACCTGCCTATGCCTCATTCCCCCTTGCTACCAGCCTCATTCCCCCTTGCTACCTGCCTCGTTCCCCCTTGCTACCTGCCTCATTCCCCCTTGCTATCCACCTCATGCCCCCTTGCTACCCGCCTCGTTCCCCCTTGCTACCTGCCTCATTCCCCCATGCTACCAAACTCATTCCCGATTGCTACCCGCCTCATTCCCCCAT